CACCACTACCCACAAGATGTCCCATAGAGGGAAGCCTTTGTTCAGGCGCTTCATGTCTAGCCACCAAATTAGGGAATTGCGTACTGATAGAGGAATCTTGATGGGTTGGAGTTGAATTTCTGGAAGAATATTGTAGCAGGAAATTCACTTGGAATGGTCTCATTCTCCACTGCGCCCACCTGGTCAGCCCTATTGTGGAAGACATGGATCCGAGCAGATTCATCGCCTTCTTTGCCGAGATAACTCTGGATACCAGTATTTTTCTCAACTGTTTCCTGAGTTTCAAAATCCTTTCCTGGGAGAGCTGAACATTACCTCTTGACGTGTTGAAGTGAGCTCCCAGGTATGTCATAGACTGACTTGGCTCTTTTCTCTTTTTTACGTTGATTTTCCAGCCATGAATTTGTAAGAAATTAAGGCTGATGATGGCATGAGAGGATAATATCTCTTTGTCGTCTCCCACAATCAGAATGTTGTCTAGATAATGGAAAATGGAAATATCCCGCTTTCTTAATTCCACAATGAGAACCACTAGTACTTTCGTGAAAGTCCTCGGGGCTGTGCTGAGTCCAAAGGGTGGAGCTCTGAACTGGAAATGGCCCTCTACTACAGCGAAGCTCAGGTACTTCTGATGTGTCTGTGCAATGGGTATATGGAAATAAGCATCCAACAGGTCTATCAACATCATCCATTGGTTGGGGAAAACTGCTTTGATAATAGATTGCAAGGATTCCATCTTGAATCTGCGGATGTGCAAGTGTTGGTTCAGTTTGTGTAGATCTAGAATGGGTCTCCACCCTCCTGAGGACTTTTTTGTTAGGAAGATATGTGAGTAGAAACCGTGAGTGCTTTCGCATGCTGGAAACTTTACAATAACTCCTTCTGCTTGCAATGAGGAGATGAAGTTTTGAAGGGCGATTCGTTTCTCCCTGTGTCCTAGGCTTTTTGTGACTTGAAAAGATCTGAAGGGGGGCATCTCGTAAAATTTCAGAAGATATCTTCTTCGGATGATATCTAGAACCCAACTGTCGCTTGTGGATTCTTCCCATGTTGTATGGAATTGAAGCAGACGGACCCCGACTCCTCCTGACTGGGAGATGATACCGTCATAAATTCATGAATTTCTTGGAAGAGGTAGTGCCATGGGACCTGCCTCCTCTACCGCCAGATTGACCTCCTCTCCAGGATTGAAATCTACCATATTCTCTTCCTGGCTTATAGGATCTGCTATCACGAAAGGAATAGTACTCTCTTCTAGCATGAAAGGACCCTTTGTTTCTGCGTTCTTGAGGTAGAAAAGTTTTATTACCTTAAGCAGCTCTTTTAATGCATTCATCCAGGTTTCTTCCGAATAACATATCCCCATGGAATGTCAAGGAACATAAACTGCTTTTAGAAGAAGCATCAGTAGACCATGATCTGAGCCACAGAGCTCGCCTGGTGGAGATCAAAAAGGTCATATTTCCGGAAAGGTTCCTCACTAGGTCTAGTGCAGCATCAGATGAGAAATCAATAACTAGCTTCATATCTCTCAAGCTGTCCAAGATAGAGGGATGGCTTCTGCCCTTCTTAATATCCTCCTCCAGTTCTTGCATCCATACTTTCAATGCTCTAGTAACCGATGTGAGAGCTACTGCAGGATGAAGGCCAGTTCCAGAAGGCACGTATGATTTAGAAAGGTTGTACTCCATCTTTCTGTCCATTGGATCCTTAAAGGATCCTGCATCACTGGCAAGGTGGTACGCTTAGCGGGTCTAACCACTGCTGCATCAACCTTAGGGGCAAAGTTCCATGCTACAGCGTCCCTGGTTTCAAATGGATAGAGTCTGGTAAATTTACCTTTAGCAGATGATATCCTGTCCAATCTGGACCATTCCTCTTTAATAAGATCACTTATTGTCTCATGTACCAGAAAGGTAGCCCTTTTTCTCCTGAGATCAGAGAAACAGCGACTGGAGGTAGAAGGTTCCTCCTTAGAGGATTCCTTTAAGGCAAAGGTCTTCCGAACGCTGGCTATCAAATGATCCACTTCCGATGGTTCCAGGAAGTCTGGATCTGGTTTCCTCCTCCGAGGAAGAAGCCAGGTCTCTCAGGGAAGCTGTTTTCATAAACTCCTCTCCCGAGTCTCCTGGAGAATAATCGGAAGGTTCCGAACATCTGGACCACTTGTTTAATATATTGCATAATGTCTGGTGCGGGCTGAGATGGGCCTGCAGCTACTGAAAGGCAGCTTGAACAGAGATGTTTTCCCTCCAGGGCTCTGTTGTCAAAGGATACACATCGCGTCCTTTTGGGCGACTTCCCTTTGGGCGATCCTGAAGTCCTAGTACCTTTGGAACTGCCTAAGAAAAAATGCATTTCAGTACTCTGCACTCTTTTACTAAAAGCTCATAAAACCACATAATTGATGAAGATGAAGATGGCTTATCTATACTGTTTAGGTTGTGACCTACTGTGATGAGAAGGAGATTGCGAATTCCTGGAGCTTGAACGTGCTTCCATCTACAAGTATTTTAAGAAGCATTTCAAATTGAAACTCCAGAAGAACATTAACAAGAAAACAATGAATAAAACTTACTTTAAGAAGGATCCAAAGAATAGTAGGGATCAGAGGTGAGTATGATCCAGTTATACTCTTTACCAGGAAGGAATTGCAAAGAAATTGAATTTTGGTGCTTAAAATATGCGTGAACTAATTTGCGCATGCGCACATACCGAACTACCGAATGCCATGCGTTCGAAGGAAAAAGTAACGCAAGCGCACAAACAGACAAGAAAGCCTTACTTGCACCGCGCGTTCGCATGAATGAACAAGCACGAAAGACGTGCATGCGCCCTTCGCGAACAAGAAGCCGAAAACCTTGCTAGTTTCCAGAAGGACAGTAGGAAACAGACCTCCTTACCAGCAAATACTTTCTAGGTACTATTATTCTTCCATGATCGTCCACATCTCAGTCCTTAGGTTGTTGCAGGGCATAGATAGTGGCCCATACACTTGCTACCCTTTGGGTCACAGCAAATCCAAAACCCCCGGTCACTACATGGCGGTGTACTGGAGACTTCCCAAGGGAGAGAGGCTGAACTCCCAAGGGGCCAGAGGAACCTATCCTCAGGTAAGCCGTAAAAGAAAAATTACATAGTACTAAGACTAACATATCCTATAGTGATAGGACAGGGAAAAAAAAGACTGAGGGAGGAGGGGATAGGAGGTGGTACTTATTAGGTACCTTTAATTTAATTATTCCTGTCTAATTAGGGGTAGGGAGGAGCTAGCTACCCAATGTTGTACTGCAATGGATATGGCCAGGAAATATATATATATATATATATATATATATAAAAAATACAAAAATCCCCTGCACTCACGTCCAAAATCCCACTACCGGGCGCAAACACCAGGGCTCCACGTAACACAGACTCCAAAGTGGCAACGGCTGCTCTCCGGTTTTAAAAAAAGTTTTATTGAATCATAATAAAAGCAATGACCGACGTTTCAGTCCCAGCTCGGGACTTTCCTCAGGGTCCAACAAAACAGAATAACAAATACCATAGATTCAAATCCTAAATATATACCTATATAATTAAAATTAAAACTCACCCAGGTGTGCTGCTGCCATCACCACCGGGGTCGCCGAACTTCCGGGTATGCGCGCGCACCTCCGCACGCTCACTCCTCCCACACCACGTGCTGACGTAATACGTCCAATCACCATGGAGACATGTATACAAAATTCTCAACACCGTGGCAACTAAATGTTGATTAAAAAGATCGTGATAATAAAATAGTGCTTGAGTGAACAATGTTATGGATAATTGAACATTATTAAGAAGGGGTGTATAAACACCCAAGTTGCCATTGTATAATTATGGCATTAACTATATATAAACTTGAAAGTGCATAGTTAGTATTAAATGACCTATTAAAGTGACATCAGTGTAAAGTGCATTATAATATGCTATCATATAATAAAGTGCCATATACCCTCAAGTGCATGATATGCCCAATACATCAATGTTATTCAAAACAGACTAATAGCATACGACACATACTAAAAAAAGGGGAACATATAAAATTAATACATCCCATATTCTAATACTAAACACCAACTATATATTATACTCATAATATTAAAAACAATTGGTAACAAGCTGTCAAATAAAGGCATTGTACAACTATTGATGTAACATCGGGTGAATCTGCTTCAGACAATGAGACCCCTAATAACACTCCCGTTTTTTTAGGTCAGGAGGAAATGGGCACCACTACCAGGAGCAAGGGCCGAGGCGAAGGCGCCCCAGAAATAGGAGAGGGCGCAAGGGCAAAAACAACAGTAAGGGGAAAACCCCCCCACAGGAGATAATTCCTCTTTTCAATTTATCCCACAGACAATTTAGTGATACAGAGATCAATATCCTAAGTATGGGATTATCATATGTACCTACCAGTAATCCAAATTGTTTTAGATGGAGTACTGAGTTATTTCAATTTGGGAGAAATATGAGATTAAAGGAATATTTTAACATCTTGAATAAAGATAAAATCCAATCAACTCATAAAACTATTGATAGATTCAGACCGAAGTCTACATTTGACCCACAGACGACCAAACCATCAATTAAGACTTTCTTAAATGTCACGTCCAAGATGGCACAACAAATTTTTTTACAACGCAGGCAAACACCTCAGAACATCACTAAGGAGGAAAGATGTCTTCTTGATAACCTGGCCAAGGACCCCACAATAGTCATCCGTTCAGCAGATAAGGGGGGTGGCATAGTTATTTTGAACTATACAGACTATGCCAATGATCTTAAACAACAACTTGCAGATACCAATACGTATTACCCTCTATCCGGTGACCCTACGGTTGACATACAAAGGAAAATAGCTGATGTCCTTGGAATGGGCCTTAGGTCAGGTTACATCGATTTAGATCTTCATCGTTTTTTAGAGAAACAACACCCTCGCACTCCTATAATTTACAGTATTCCTAAGATTCATAAAAACACACAGAGACCTCCTGGTCGTCCTATTGTTTCAGCTATTGATGGAATATTGGAACCTATAGCCCAATGGCTAGATTTTCTTTTTAAGGAGCCAGTGGAGGCGTTGAACACATGTATTAAAGATACACAGACCCTTTTGTATAGGCTCAACAATTTGGATCTACATGGTACTGTTCCTATATTCATCACAATGGACGTTGGCAGCCTATATACAGTAATCCCTCACACAGATGGCATTGATGCTATGCGACAGGTATTAAGTGAATCCCCGTTGTATCGGGGCCCACCTGTTGAATTTGTTTTGGAATTATTGGCATTGATCCTCTATAATAACCACTTTAGGTTTGAAAACCAGTGGTATTTACAGGTGGCAGGCACATCGATGGGGTCTTCTATGGCCCCCATGTATGCCAATGCGTTCATGTAAATGTATGAGACCCAACATATTCTTATACCTTATCGGGACAACATCATTAGCTACTATTGCTACATAGATGATCTGTTAATACTCTGGCGCGGAACGTCAATTGAAGCATACGAGATGGTGAATGAATTAAATAGGCTATCAACGCCCATTAAATTTACGGCTAATATCAGTGATGAGAAGGTCCAATTTTTAGACCTGGAGTTGTCTTACGGATTCAACAAAATACAATATACATTATACACGAAACCTACAGACCGCAACACTTTATTGCACGCACATAGTGCTCATCCCACTATGTTGAAAAATTCTATTCCAAAGGCACAGTTCCAAAGAGTTATCCGTAATAATTCAAACCAAGATAAAGCAGAGACACAGTTGACAACTATGACACACAAGTTTGCTGAACGGGGATATGGAACTAGAATATTGGAAGATGCACTGATAAAGGCTAAGGCAGCTTCAGTACAACCTAGGAAAGACCTTACTCAGAGGATAATGTTTCCTATGACTTTCCATAATTGCTCGAATTTGGTATCAACAGTGATTAAAGACAATTGGAAGATGCTTGCAACGGATGACACGTTGCCAAAAGTTTTCAAAGAACCGCCGTTGATATGCTATAAAAGGAATAAGAGCCTGAAAGACTTGCTGGTGCATACAGATCCAGTTGCAAGCTATTCGAAGGATATGAAACAAAATATACGAGGGTGTATTCGGTGTCTGGGGTGTGTAACTTGTGGACATATGATACCAGCAAAGAAATTCAGCCACCCACACACTAACAAAGTTTACGATATTAGACACACTATCACTTGCAAAACAATGTTTGTGGTATATAAATTGATGTGTCCGTGTGGATTGTATTATGTGGGCAAGACGGAGACACAACTCTGTGAGCGCATTAGAGGCCACCGTTCGAGTATTAGATTGGTGTACAGGGACGGACATTCGGACAAACCGGTGGCTCAACATTTTTTGGATAAAACCATTCATTGACATGCCTTAAATTTGTGGGTATAGACCACATCCCTCTTCCTCGTAGAGGTGGCAATAGGAGTAAAATGCTCCTTCAAAGAGAAGCTTTCTGGATACATCAATTAAATACAGTATCTCCCATGGGACTTAATGAAAATATTCCGTACAATGCCTTTATTTGACAGCTTGTTACCAATTGTTTTTAATATTATGAGTATAATATATAGTTGGTGTTTAGTATTAGAATATGGGATGTATTAATTTTATATGTTCCCCTTTTTTTAGTATGTGTCGTATGCTATTAGTCTGTTTTGAATAACATTGATGTATTGGGCATATCATGCACTTGAGGGTATATGGCACTTTATTATATGATAGCATATTATAATGCACTTTACACTGATGTCACTTTAATAGGTCATTTAATACTAACTATGCACTTTCAAGTTTATATATAGTTAATGCCATAATTATACAATGGCAACTTGGGTGTTTATACACCCCTTCTTAATAATGTTCAATTATCCATAACATTGTTCACTCAAGCACTATTTTATTATCACGATCTTTTTAATCAACATTTAGTTGCCACGGTGTTGAGAATTTTGTATACATGTCTCCATGGTGATTGGACGTATTACGTCAGCATGTGGTGTGGGAGGAGTGAGCGTGCGGAGGTGCGCGCGCATACCCGGAAGTTCGGCGACCCCGGTGGTGATGGCAGCAGCACACCTGGGTGAGTTTTAATTTTAATTATATAGGTATATATTTAGGATTTGAATCTATGGTATTTGTTATTCTGTTTTGTTGGACCCTGAGGAAAGTCCCGAGCTGGGACTGAAACGTCGGTCATTGCTTTTATTATGATTCAATAAAACTTTTTTTAAAACCGGAGAGCAGCCGTTGCCACTTTGGAGTCTATATATATATATATATACACACTGCTCAAAAAATAAAGGGAACACAAAAATAACACATCCTAGATCTGTATGAATTAAATATTCTTCTAAAATACTTTGTTCTTTACATTACAGTTGAATGTGCTGACAACAAAATCACACAAAAATTTAAAAATGGAAATCAAATTTTTCAACCCATGGAGGTCTGGATTTGGAGTCACACTCAAAATTAAAGTGGAAAAACACACTACAGGCTGATCCAACTTTGATGTAATGTCCTTAAAACAAGTCAAAATGAGGCTCAGTAGTGTGTGTGGCCTCCACGTGCCTGTATGACCTCCCTACAACACCTATGCATGCTTTTGATGAGGTGGCGGATGGTCTCCTGAGGGATCTCCTCCCAATGATTGTATAAATCAGAAATATGACCTCTCTTTATAATTCCTGTTTTGCATATCTTTTCAAAAGCAGTAAGAGGAAACATCTAAAGCATCTGCCAACTCCTGGACAGTCTGTGGTGCAAAGTGATGTTGGTGGATGGAGCGAGACATGATGTCCCAGATGTGCTCAATTGGATTCAGGTCTGGGGAACGGGTGGGCCAGTCCATAGCATCAATGCCTTCATTTTGCAGGAATTGCTGACACACTCCAGCCACATGAGGTCTAGCATTGTCTTGCATTAGAATGAACCCAGGGCCATCCGCACAAGCATATGGTCTCACAAGGGGTCTGAGGATCTCATCTCGGTACCTAATGGCAGTCAGGCTACCTCTGGCGAGCACATGGAGGTCTGTGCGGCCCTCCAAAGAAATGCCACCCCACACCATAACTGACCCACTGCCAAACCGGTCATACCGGTCATGAGACATGGTACAATGAGAAAAATGACTGGGACATAGCAATACCAGGGTACTCTTTATATAGGAAAGATAGGGAAGGCAAAAAAGGGGGAGGGGTTGCCTTGTATGTGAAGGATAGCATAAAATCTAGCCTAATAAAAGTTAGTGAGGCAAACATAGAGTCCGTTTGGGCTACGTTAGAATTTGGTAATCACACAGTAACTCGTGTAGGTGTGATTTATAGGACCCCAGGACAAATTGAAGAGTTAGATAATCTACTAGTTGAGGAAATAGCTAAAATGACAATGAAGGGGGAAGTTATCATCATGGGTTACTTTAATCTTCCTGATGTAAATTGGAAAACAAAATTAGCTACTTGTGCCAGGAGCACACATATTCTAAACTCCCTACTGGGATTGTCTCTAAAACAAGTTGTTGAGGAGCCAACTCTTAAAGAGGCCATACTAGATTTAGTGTTAACAAATGGAGATTTGGTATCAGATATTACTGTAGGTGAAAGTCTAGGATCCAGTGATCATCAGTCAGTGTGGTTTAATATAAGAACAGTGACTGAGTCACACCACACAAAAACAAAAGTTTTAGACTTTAGAAAAACAGACTTTTCTAAAATTAGAATATGGGTAGAGGAGTCATTATCAGACTGGAGCAATTTAAATGGAGTCCAAGAAAAATGGGATTATTTAAAAGTTGCACTATTGAAGGCAACAGAAAATTGCATTAGGCTTGTCAGTAAAAGCAAAAAATTCAAGAAACCACTGTGGTACTCCGCAGATGTGGCCAAAATAGTTAAAAACAAAAAGTTAGCATTTAGGAATTATAAAAAAACCCAGAGTGAGGAAGACAAAATGATCTATAAGATTAGGCAGAAAGAGGCTAAGCAAGTTATAAGAGCTTCCAAATCACACACAGAAGAGAAAATAGCACAGTCAGTAAAAAAGGGGGATAAAACATTTTTTAGATACATAAATGAGAAAAGAAAAGTAAAACAAGGATTAGTTAGATTAAAAACAAAAGAAGGAAGGTATGTAGAAGAGGATAAAGGTCTAGCTGACTGCCTCAATGAATATTTTTGTTCTGTATTTACAGATGAAAATGAAGGAAAGGGACCTCAGTTGAGAAAAAGGATAAATGAGTCATTTATTACACGTGAGTTTACAGAGGAAGAGGTTCTATTTCAACTGTCAAAAGTAAAGACAAATAAGTCAATGGGACCTGATGGAATACACCCAAAGCTATTAAAAGAGCTTAGTGGTGTACTAGCAAAACCATTAACATATTTATTTAACCAATCATTGTTAACAGGAGTAGTCCCAGAAGATTGGAAGTTAGCGAATGTTGTGCCCATTTACAAGAAAAGTAATAGGGAGGAGTTGGGCAACTATAGGCCAGTAAGCCTTACTTCAGTAGTGGGGAAAGTGATGGAAACCATGTTAAAGGATAGGATTGATGAACATCTAAAAACACATGGATTTCAAGATCAGAGACAACATGGGTTTACTTCAGGGAGATCATGCCAAACTAATCTTATTGATTTTTTTGATTGGGTAACTAAAATTATAGATCAGGGTGGTGCAGTAGACATTGCTTACCTAGATTTCAGTAAGGCTTTTGACACTGTTGCACATAGAAGGCTTATCAATAAACTGCAATCTTTAAGTTTGGATTTCAATATTGTTGAATGGGTAAGGCAGTGGCTGAGTGACAGGCAACAGAGGGTTGTAGTTAATGGAATATATTCGAAGCTTGGACTTGTCACCAGTGGGGTACCTCAGGGATCTGTACTTGGACCCATTCTCTTTAATATTTTATTAGTGATATTGCAGAAGGTCTTGATGGTAAGGTATGTCTTTTTGCTGATGATACTAAGATATGTAACAGGGTTGATGTTCCAGGAGGGATAAGCCAAATGACAAATGATTTAGGTAAACTAGAAAAATGGTCAGAATTGTGGCAACTGACATTTAATGTGGATAAGTGCAAGATAATGCATCTTGGAAGTAAAAACCCAAGGGCAGAGTACAGAATATTTGATAGAGTCCTAACCTCAACATCTGAGGAAA